TTTTATTCTTATCTGTTATATATGACAACAGAATGCATTATAATTGATATTACATATGTACAGCACAATTTTTCATCTCTCTGCTTGCATATAAAGTATATTCACACTATTCATGTCTTTTTTATACATGCACTTAGGGTAGTGATGTTCATCTCATTCCAGCCCAGCTTCTTTTATAGAAATGAAAAAAAAAATGAGATTATTTGTGTATCTGCACAATTATTAACACAGGTTTTTTTTTGACAACCAAGTATTTTATTGGGCTTAGGAGAAAATATGGACAGAGAAAAGAATTTTAAATTTGTTAAAGAAAATAAAGACAGTACATTATACACACTCAAAATATATGATTTTTTTACATGCTGTCTTTGGAGAATTTTTAATACACACTTAATTCAAACAAATTCAGTTACAGACCCATGTTATCTCCAGAAGCTCTAAACTAGAGATAAGATAGGCAGCTACTATAGCCTAAAATTCCTTCAAATCCCTGCACTAATTAATTGGCTTTGTATTATCAATCAATGTAAATAGGTGTGCAGAACATTGGATGCTACTCTTGTTCAGAAGGAGTAATGTCAACCAAAGTCTTCAACTGGAGCCTTCCTTAGAATGCTGCAGAGTGAGAACACCACAGGATGACTGTGATATAGGGAGCAAATAATGTCAGGATAGAATGGCAGATGACATTCAAAATATAGTTCCATTTTATTTCCAGAAATTTTTATGAAACAAATTCTCAGGAAGTATTGGAAAAACAATACCTTGAATAATCACAAGAGGAGACTCAGGAACAGTAAGACTAGAGCCATAATTTAGTGATTTTTGTTTTTGTGTATGTGTGTGTGTGCAACAGGCCTAGAGAGGAAAAGTTGAGCACCAAATATTTGTTTTTTAGTTTTTGGCAGACACAACATCTTTGTTGTGGACCAGTGGCTGAAGCATGTGCAAAAAATCAGTGCCAACTATCTTTTTCCTTTTTAAAAAATGTGCTGCAAACTTATTCCTATGGAGCAGATATTTTAACACATATTTGGTATATATGTTCTAAAATTCTATTTTTAAAACATAATTATTCCATATTTATTCTTTCATAGATTGAAAAGCAAAGAAATCCTTATATACAAATGACCAATTTTGTGTTTATATTAGAGTTCATCATTTTATTTATAAATTAAGAATTAATGAATGTTTTTAAAGGTACAGAATGCCATTGACTCCATTCAAGATTCATAACACAGGTTTTTATAGAAGCCCCACATAACAAATTTACTTTTCCCTATATAACATTAACTTTCAATTTCCATACATTTTAAATTTCAAAAACCTTTTATGACATCTTCTAGCTTTGGGGAAACAGCTGATGGCAATTGCTATATTAACAGGGAGAAAGAGAACTGTGGCCAAGAACACAAGGGCAACTTACTTTCATAAAAAGCATCCCATAAAGCTGAAAATAAATAATTCATTTAACCACAGAACTTTTAAACCCACAATCTTAAATAAAAGTATTTTCTAAACTGTGGGAAATTAAAAATAGCAACATTGGTATGTTGATTTTAACAATATAAATCAAATGTTAATGTGCATTTAAAAGTATCTACTGAAGATTTAAAACTGCATTAGACCTTACTTAGGTGAAGTTATGCTAAATTTTGTGTAGAGCCAATTACAGAGGGTTGTTTATATATAATAGAGAGCTAGAAACAGAGGCCATCCCTTTATGGTACATCTAGGAACACAGTACTTCCTTTGTCTCTGTCCCATTTTTATAAAGGAGAATAATGCCAAGAATGTTTTCCAGATAAGGTGACATTCAAGGTGAGACCTGAGGGATAAGTATGGAAGGTCAAGAAAAGCCATTCCAGTAGGAAGTCATGACTGTTTCAAAAGTAATTTATTATTATTTGTTAGCCATTCATTCAACAAGTATGTATTGAATAACAGCCATTTTAGCATAGATATGTCATAAAGAACTCTTCAAAATCTGGGTTCAACAGTTCATTGTTTGAGTTGTTCTGAATTTGTGCAACAAAGTTCTCTCATCTTTACAATTCTTTCCTCTTTGTCTCATAGTGAGAATTTTTCTTCCTTTGTTTTTTGTCTTTTTTTAGGCCCTATATTAATATATTTTATAATTATATGTAAAAATTGTTAAATATATTATATAAAATACATTACAAATGAATTTGGTGTTTGTTCCATCTAAAACATGTTTATTCATAATAACTTTGTAAGATAAATAATCTAAAACAAAAATAATAAATTCATGAAGTTTCCTTATGAAGTTCAGAGCTGTGAATAAGGAATCATAAAAATTCATTTATCCCTTAACTATTATGATCAATAAAAACAATCAGTAAGATAACAGTATAGTAAAATATGAAAAAGCAGGTCTTTTCATGTTATATAAATTTTAAAATTGAAAACAACCACCTTTTATCAATAAGCTTTTCCTTTAAAAATAAAAATAATACCATGCCACTAAAACTTTCAGGAATCTAATCTGAGTATATGGGAATGCATTTCAGGGCAGTGATGAAAAGTTGCAACAAAAGCAAAGGACGAGTGTTAGCTCAGGGAAAGAGTGAGGTGGGAAAATGTGCTTTTTACTTCACATGCTCCCATATGGAGAGATAAAGTTATATTTCAGCTTCCTGTCCACCTTTATTCTGTTGGGTCCAGAAGAGTAAGAGAGGCTCACTGATGAGGGATTTGAGGAGACCTGAGACAAAAATGACTTAGTCTATGGCTTATTTTCTATGCAGCTTTCCTGAACAGAGAGTTCCTTCTGGACTATTAAGAAGCCCATAATCTCACTGGTTAATGTTACTCTAATGTGAATGTTAGGAAACTACAAATACATCTATATCTATCCTCTGATATTTTACAATTAATAGTTGATATTTGACCTCCATGTTTTTGATCTTTGAACTTGCCTCTCCATTACTTT